ATAATTTACTTTTCAAATTGGGTGGAGATTGTACCTCTCCTGATAATAAAATGCAGTGTGAACACCACTCATTTGTCTGCTATAAAGGAGAGATAATCATTGGTAAGAAAAACTGTAGCCTTCAATAAATGGTTGCCACATTTTGTTCCAGGACAAAAAGAAGCATAATAACAGAACACATTGTTTACCAATCAGGAATCAAATTGTGGAATATATTCAAGGGAGGGATAACATAAGAGACCAAGAAACATCCAAGAATGCTGCCTGTTGCAAAGGTAGAGTCCCAATCTCACCCCTGCTTCAGTAGCACAGAACCAGATTTTCAGCCAAATTGAAATTTCTGCACCTTCAATTAGGGGGCATTCCTAGGGAGAGGCTGCAATAAGCAAGCAAGATGCCTATTTAGGTATAGCATCTCCCGCATCCAACACTTATTCCAACCTATCAGCCATGGAACACTCTGTTGTTGTTTACAGTCTTTATAGTGACCACGTGAGAGGAATTTCTAGACACAATTGATTCAGAGGAGGTTTCTCATTGACTTTCCATGGTTGGCATATGGAATTCTTTAGGATAGGTTTACTTGTCAAAGTTGAGAGATAGCACTAATGGAATAATATTGAGAGGCTATTGACAAATTACTAAAACCTTAAAGATTGAGAATGCCAGAAAAATTTGGGCACATAGAAGGGGGTTTCCATTACTGCCACTGATGATAATCCCTAACATACATACACACACACACACCACAGCTTTGCAGCAACAAAACCAGGGCCATTCTATTAATCATACTAAGTAGCACTGCTATCAGTGCTCAAATTCTAGCACTGCCAACTTCTTTATGCAAGCACGGTCTCTGATATATTCATTCCCAGGTCATCCTTAGATTATGGAAAAATTACTGTCTTTGACTGCAATTCCCACTAGGACATGGCCACTAGGCTAACTGTAGGATTCTAAGGGGTGTAGTCCAAGGGTGTCTTTTCCCCCTTAAAAATGAGACTTGCTCAGATCCAGCTGGTAACTTCCATGTTACCTCTTTGTATACCTCCTAAAGGTTTCGGGCTAAACCAGGCACTGTCAAACTTTGGCCCTCCAGTTGTTTTGGATTTCAATTCCCACAACTCCTAACAGCCTACCAGCTATTAGGAATTGTGGGAGTTGATGTACAAAACACCTGGAGGGTCGAAAATTGACCGTGCCTGGTTTAGCCTGAAATCTTGAGGAGCTATCCAAGGTGCTGAACTTATTTGATACTCCTTTGGATGTATTAACATGGAAGTTACCAGCTGGATCTGAAGGCTTAACTCTAAAATGTCTCACTGATATGGAAGGGTTCAATCACCACAGAGTCAGCCTACATCTCAATGGAAAGTGCTAATTAGAATTCCCTTATTTAGATGACATCTCTCTGAGGAAATTGTCCCTGCCTACAAAAAACATATCCCTTTTCCAAAGTTCCTGTTGAGCTGAACCAAACACACAAATGCTCACCAACTAACAGTTGGTGATAGCAGATGGGACAAGGAATTAGATCAAAAATTTAAACCTAGTCACTTGGTTGAGGAAATTAGACTCATGGCTTGATGCAAAGCTGGTTGGGGACTGGGCCGAACAGATCTCGATTCCCATTGTACTGTGTATTAATTTTTTAAAAGTTGTGTGAAGCACTGTATTGGGATTTTGCTTCTCCTATTTAAATAATCCCCTACAGTAGGCACTGAGCTTAAAAGCTATGCCAGATCAAAAGTTAGAAGATGGCTAACTATACAAACATAACAGTTAAGCTTGAGTGAATTAGTGATATGCATACACACAAAGAATGAAAATGTCCTTATATCCATGGGACCAGTACCTGCAATTTCATTTACACATGTCTGACACATTTTCTAGATCCTCTAGGTAATTCTATGGGTTACTTCTGCTAAAAGCTGACCATGAAGTTGCACTGGAGGACTGACCCAGCAGTGCCTGAAGAGGTGCCCTGGAATGTATTCCCTACAAATATCTGGTTCATACAGTATTACTTCATTACATTTCTGTCCCACTTTCCTTTTGAGAAATTCTAAGATGCTGAAATAGAGCTGAGGCTGATTTCCGTTCATGCAACGTCTGGTCAAGCAAGTATTGATTTGGCTTTATAAGTTTAACAGTTTTCCCTATCCTCAGACAACTACCTGGGTTAAATAAGATATCTCTGGGATTGCTAGGGATGATATTCCCATCACCTGTCTTTGTTATGGCCAACAGATAGCCTCAAACCCATATAGGACTCTACTAGAAAGATATAGAAAGCTATCACTGTGTCTCCCTACTATTTGCAGAAAAATGATGTTTCCACCAGAAATGCTACTATGCCTTGCTAAAAAATGAGTAAGAAAGAAACGTGAAGAAAAAGAGAAATACTACCACCCTTACACACAGAGATTAGAACGTCACTGAATTCAGCCCACATAAAAAGTCTCATTTTGCTTTAATTATGTGATGCATATTCTGGACAAGCCAAGTATTCATTTTTAGTTGTTGGCAGAAAGATTTTAATTTCACTCTGACAAGAACGATATGATAAGAGAAAATGTCAAGAACAATATCACTAACTAATGGTACAAATTTTGACAGAAATTATTTCCTTTCAGTCATTTTATCTTTTGCAAAGTCTCAATGGACAGGTCCAATCAATGTGTTCTTTATATATGGTCATCAAACTTGTAAGTACCAAACCATTTCTAAAAACTCAAATACAGCAACTGTTGTGTTATTTTCTACATCCAATTAATTTAACTGTGGTATCTGTGGTTTCAAAAAACACTGTTTCAAAACAAACATATTCAAAGTAATGCTTTGCATTCATAATCTCTATCATCTCTATCAGTTAATAAAGTAATTATTAGTAGTAGTATCACCATAATCAACAACAGCAACAATAACAACAACAACAAGTACTATAATAATTCACAGTGGCTAGCAATACTGCATTCACTTAGTGAAAATTCCTCTGTGGTTACTTATATATGAAGGATTTCTCACAAATTATTAACACAATCAAGTGTGTCATATAGGTCGATCAACAAACAAGACTTCCCTCTTCACAAGTGAACATCTTATAGTACAGTGGTTCTCAACCTTCCTAATGCCACAGCCCCTTAATACAGTTCCTCATGTTGTGGTGACCACCAGCCAAAAAATTATTTTCATTGCAACTTCATAATTTTGCTACTGTTATGAATCATAATGTAAATATATGATATGCAGGATTTGGCACAAGTACCAAATTTGAATACTTGTGGGGTATTGATTTTGTCATTTGGGAGTTGTAGTTGCTGGGATTTATAGTTCACCTAAAATCAAAGAGCATTCTGAACCTCACCAAAGATAGATTTGGGCCTAACTTCTCACCCAGAACCTCCATTACCAACAGAAAACACTGGAGGGATTTGGGAGGAATTGACAGTGATTTAGGGGAGAGCACACCCGCTCTCCCCTCTCCACTTGAAGTCTCAGAAACAGCCCTCAAAGCAGGAGGAGGGCTTTTGGTGGGAAGATTTGCTGTCTGTTTCCAAAAAGGAAGCAAAAGATAGGTGGAGAGATCTATAGCCTTCTGTGCCAATGGGGTGCCTAAAACCATTAGAAATGTGTTTTCTAATAGTTTTTGGTGAGCTCTCTGAAACCTTCCTTGTGACCCCAAGGTTGAGAAACGCTGTTATAGTAGATGTATATTATATGTAACAAGTGGGAGGGGGGGCACATACTAACAGATGATTTAAAGAAGATTGTAGTATATAATTTTGATAAACCAACATCTCCTGCCATACGATGTTTAGAACAAATCAAATACTTCTCATCATTTGGTGATTATATAATGCAGGGAAGCCTTTCTTTGGCCCCATAGGACACACCTCCTCCAGAAGCTCGGAAGTCAATCAAACCACACAAAATAGATACAGTTGGCCCTTTACATTTGCGTATTTCACTTTTACAGGTCTGATTAACATTTTCTTAATAGGAATCTCTTGGTCCTCCAGGGAGACTCAATAATCAACCTATGTCACCTTGGAGGACTTAGAAATTTCTACATAACTTTCCTCAGAGGTTAAAAAAAGTGGAGTTTTCGTTCATAGCTTTGCACTTTTGATGTAGGCTCCCCTAAACCTACTTATTTTAACAATTGAAAAGAGTTATGACTCCAGAAGTCACCAGGGAAACAAGTCATGGCTAAAATGAGAAGGAAAAGGACTACATCAATCACCTGCATTTTTCACAGAGGTCTCTGTCAGTCTATACCAGGGGTCCTCAAACTAAGGCCCGGTCATGTAAAAAGATAACTTCTCTCATCCTTGTGAAATGGGCAATGCTTTGGCAATGCTTTGCTCTCATCAATGTGCTTATAACATAGAGGCGATGAAAAATAAATATAAACAGCTGAGCAGAGTTATATGAATGTCTCTTTCAAATCTTTGATTCTATTCCGCTATGCGGGACAGGGCTAACGCGACACCTTCGCTTCCTTGTGGCTGGGGGGTGTACATTTGCCCGTTATAATTGATTTGCTTAGTGAGCTGATCAAAATTTGGCACATGGTGTCTCTTACAACTCTTTGATTCTATTCTCCCGTAGGTCTTTTCCAACTCTTTGATTATACGATACCTGGAGGGCGGTAAATGCCAGTTCTGCGGCTTGGAAGTGGAAATTAGCACCACTCACCGGAGTCTTTGAGAGCAATTTTTCCCAAGGCTCTGATTCTATGATTCTATCGGGGCAATAGGCAAACCACGCACATTCTATCTGGGCAGTAGGCAAACCACGCATAAAAAAAAAACAAAAAAAAACCCTCTATTAATACGGAAAGGACGAATCTTTGCTTCTATGACTATATGGTTGTCACATTAACACCAGTATAAGGTGTTTTCTGTCAACTCTTTGATTCTACGATTAGAGGGTGTTGTAGCTACCATCCTACTGCTTAGGCATCGGGTGGGGGATGTTGTTACGGGGATAACCATGCACTGGGCACGGAGCTTGGACTCACAAGTGTCCTTTATTTCACTTCAGGTTGTAGGATGCCATCTAAGAAGAACAAGGGGGGCCCTAAGGGGAAGGGTCCTTTGGAGAAGACGGGTCACAAGCGACCTTTGCGGCAGGATGGCTCGTCGTCGGACGAAGATGGGGTTTCTATGGAAGATTTGGAGGCCCTTCTTCAACGTGTTCACCAGATCGAGCAAAATGGGGGGATTGGTTTGAGTAGGGTTGGTGTAGGCTCTACTCGCAGGGCAAGTAAGAAACAGTTGTTTAAGTCTCTTTTGTCTCGTGTTTCTATTATAGAGTCGACCTCAGCTGCGGGGGCAGGAAGGGCGGTTCGGCTTCCTGAACATCCGGCTGTTCCAGGGGCTGCGGAGGGCCCTGCGGTTGTGTCGGCGATGCAAACCGATTCCAGCCCAGAAGTACGGCCGGCGGTGCAGGCTGCGGCTGGTTCTGCGGCGGCTGCTGTGGCCGGACCCAGTCAGCCCGCGGCATTGGCCTCTGCGGCCAGTGCTGCGGCCGGGTCCACTCAGTCGGTGGGGTCGACCGTCGCTGCCGTTGATGTAGCAGTGGGTGAGCAGTTGGTGACGGCTGTCCCAGCAGGTACTTCCACCACACGCACATCATCGAACGTTTCCACCTCACTCACTTGGCCCTGGGACCAGGGGCGGGCTCAACCTGTCATAGGGGTTCAGTCTTATGCTGCAGTCGGGGTTCAGCCTGCGGGTGGGGCAGATCCCGGTCCAGGAGATAGGAAGGAGGAGGCCGCTGCTCAGTCGGCCAAACCTGCCACTGTCACCTTGGAATCGGCTCGCACTGGGGAGGCAAACAAATTTTGGGGTACGGCGAAGTGGCCACCACAGGCGACGCCTACCGTTAGTCTCTCAGGTTTAGGTTCCCATTTGGCGTCCAAAACAATGGAGAAGATTTTGAGGAATGAGTACATAGACATTTTTTCTCTATATTTTAGGGATATGGATAAAAAGGAGAAGGAGGAGTTAGATGAGGATAGTAAGGAGAAAATGAAGAAACGCAAGGTTGAGCAGAACTGGGAAAATTGGCTCCCTTGCTTCACTATGTACGCGAACCTACTTTCTGATGCTGCCCCAGAAAGGGCCACGGCCCTGTGGCAGTATCAGAATATTATTAACAAAGCGTATGTCAGTGGCCCTCCCAACGCTTGGCTGGAATACGATCGACGGTTTCGAACTGAAGCGGCTAGCCATCCAGACAAGCGTTGGGATTTGATTGACGATCAAATTTGGATTGAGGTGATGAATCCGTCTAGGGCTTCCTCTGCCTTGAAGGCGGATAGTGGGCACACTATTCAGAACACGGCGGGACAGCCCTCTCGGCAGGGGGCTCCCCAGCTGCAGTCCCAGGGCCAGAAGCCTTTATGCTGGGAATTTGTGGCTCAGGGAGCCTGTTCACGGAAGGACTGTCGATACTCGCACTTGTGCTCTATTTGTTTTGGGTCTCATCCATCCCGAAATTGCCCCAAGGGGAGGGCCGCGAGAGGTAATAATAGGGACACCCAATTCGTTAAGAAACCTTCAGGTCAGGCCGCAGTTTCTCAAGGGCCCCAGCCCAATTAAGTTAAATCAGTTGAAGGTTTGGCTGGATCGGTACCTAGAAGGGGGCAGTTAAGTACCTATGGGAAGGTTTTCAGTGGGTTTGCATATTCATATGTTGGGTCCCCAGTTTCCCACATTATCCCCTAATCCGAGATCCATGTAATCGGATGTGATCCCGGAGTCAATGGGCAGGGGGAAAATAGGATGCTTACTGGCGATAGGCTCGCCCGGTGTTTGTTTGTTTGTTGCTTATTTTGCAGGGACTGCCAGGCTGGTGCATAGATGGAGAATCCTTGTTGTGGGCATAATTATGTCCACTGGGCGGAGAGATACGCCGGGAACTCGTCCTTTGGCCAGCGTCTGGGTGCGCTTCCACTGCATTGGTCGAGTGGAAGGGTGTTCGGGGCCTTCATTGGGCCGGTGCTCCTTATCGGAGGTAATGATCTGGGACTGCTTAGCGGCAGGGCCCTGTATCTACAAACCCGTGCCGACATTCTTGGGATCTGGCAGGCATGGCCCCGGGTTCATATCGCTTGGTCGGCCGTCATTCCACGCCTTCGGTGGCCAGGAGGCGGTGACGTCAGGAAGCTCGAGAAGGCCAGACAGCGTGTGAACCGGGCCATGCACACGGCTTTGGCACGGGGTAGGGGATTGTTACATACACCATTGAGACATTATATAGGACCAAACAGTTTTACCATTATGACGGTGTACACCTCACAGATTTGGGTAACGCACAATTTTGGCTGATTTGCAGTTAGGCATTCAGGAAGTTTTGAGGGGCTTGGTGGGGGATGGGGGCGAAATAGACATTTGCCCCCAATCCGTGGCATAAATAGTTCAGGAAAACACTGACATGGAGGTATACACATGGCACCCATTAAGGGTGGGGGGCACGGTACAACAAACACTCACCTAGAAGTCAACAAATGGGTGAGGGGACATCAATTGGCCCAGTAAAGAGAGGAGCTGATATCAAGAATCGAATACAGGCTTCTCCAGATTTTACCTTCAGGTTGCCCGGTTGGGGATCCAGGGCACACAGACATCACACATTAAGTAGCTGGGGACGCTGCCTCAGCTTGCCACCAAGTTCCTTGACACTTAGTTTAGTTCAGGTAAAGTTAAATAGGTAACATTCAATAAAAGTTGCCCAATTTGAATCCATACATTTGTTGTCTGTCTCGTTATTTCAGGGGTTAAGGGGCAAGGGACTCTCCACACCAACGAAGTTGGTGGGGAGAGCGATTTGCCCCACCCCCTGAAGGAAGAGAGGGGAGGTTCCATTTAGAACCTCCTGGAAGAGGGGCGGGGGCTGGCTTACCACGTGAGCCAGCCCCAGCCCTTCAGTCTTGCCAGACTTTTCGCCCGCCACTCCCGCCCATTGACAGTATATTTGGTTGCCCGTTGGAGCCGGGTAGGAATTTTTTGCCTCTCATGTTCTGGGGGGTTTTTTCGCCTACCCTATACTGTTACTAGGGGCTAGATGGAGTGGTTTGGTTTAACTAGGCCAGCATAAATAGTTCAGGAAAACACTGGCATGGAGGTATACACATGGCACCCATTAAGGGTGGGGGGCACGGTACAACAAACACTCACCTAGAAGTCAACAAATGGGTGAGGGGACATCAATTGGCCCAGTAAAGAGAGGAGCTGATATCAAGAATCGAATACAGGCTTCTCCAGATTTTACCTTCAGGTTGCCCGGTTGGGGATCCAGGGCACACAGACATCACACATTAAGTAGCTGGGGACGCTGCCTCAGCTTGCCACCAAGTTCCTTGACACTTAGTTTAGTTCAGGTAAAGTTAAATAGGTAACATTCAATAAAAGTTGCCCAATTTGAATCCACACATTTGTTGTCTGTCTCGTTATTTCAGGGGTTAAGGGGCAAAAGCAGGCCCACACTTCCCATTGAAATACTAATAAGTTTATATTTCTTTAAATTGTTCTTCATTTTAACCATTGTATTGTTTTTAAGTGTTATTTGCACTAGAAATTTTATTTATTTATTGTGTCAGGAGTGAAACAAACAGTTGTATTGTATTTACAAAAAACACACAAACTTGGCATGAATTCCTATGCACACTGCACATATCTTATCTGTAGTGCAAACTTGGCACTACAAATAACATATGTGCAGTGTGCATAGGAATTCATTCATGGTTTTTTTCAAATTATAATCTGGCCCTCCAACCGTTTGATGGACTTTGTTAAAAAAGCTTGTTTAAAAAGTTTGAGGACCTCTGGTCTATACAGTTAAAGCACTACAATTCTACTTCAATGACCATGGCTACTGGCATTTGTAGCTCTCTGGCGGAGAATTTTGAATATTAGGATACATCAGGATAGGTGGCACAGTCAGAAGTACAGACTGTGAAAGGATTATCACACATAATCCTATTCCACTTTGTTGTAGTGTAACTAACTTCCTAAATAACTGCCAAACAGCACAGCCAACAGCGAAGAAAGCTACTCTATGAATACTTAGTAATACAAGGAACAAGTCCTGCCTGAGCAACACAGTCATCTTTAGGTATCCTGGGCTAACCATAAGCATCGCTTTCACACACAAAAAATAGCCATGAAGTCTTTTAAGATGCATCTGCTGCACATATATCTGACACCAACCTACAGAAATTAAATCAATTCCATCGACACATAACACAATCTTATACCAATTGAAAGTTCAAAGGGGCTTAGTTTCAGGTAAGTGAAAGTAGGACTACAACCTGCATTATTCAAGTCCCCAGAATTAGACTGAGGCTTTCAAAGTAACTTGTGTCTTGAAGAATGGCTTGCTTTTGAATTGAAACCAGAAATGTTTAATTCAAAAGATATTCCCCAGAAGCATGCCTATTTAACCAGAAGGATGTAATGGATCTATGTTTTTTTGTCCATAAGAGTGAACTTGAACCTTAATGAGCAAAAGCACGACCAGTTTTTTACACAGAAAAAGCCATTTCTAGAGCCTCCAGCTGAGGGCTTGGCTTCATATGCACTAAAATTTAACGGCTATTTGATGTCTCAGAGCACTAAAACACTGACATTTTAACATGCATAATACAGGCAATCATTATGCAGGTTTGAGGATTTTAGAATGACAAACCAGTTTAAAAGGGAGCTTGTAAAAGCAAGCTTATGTATTTGGTTATGTGTAAGTTCCTCTAAAAACTCAACTTCTTGCTTGCCTGTCTATTATCTCTTTTTAAAAATAGACACATACTTTCATTAATCGAACACCAGAAAACTGATGTTCAGAGCTTACATCTGAAGAGGTCTAAGAATGAAAGATGCCACAGGTGTTGCTTCTTTTGTAATAATATCACTCTGAAAAAGCAGCATCTGCTCAATACTTTCATTGCTTAAACCTTGAAAAAAGTGGGGGGGGGGGATTATGTGACCTACATCAGCAGTCATTCAGATGTTTGGAACTATCAATTCCCAGAATTGCCAAGTATTGGCCTACCTTGCAAAGTTGTAGGGAAACCGAAGAGCAGGTAAAATATCAGGAGGATAAGAATTGGAGAATCATGCTGAGGTTGATGTCCAACTTCCAGCAGTCCCAAAATAGCTTGATGAGGTGTTAGGAATGCTAGGAGTTGTTGTCTAAACTTATCTGGAGAGCCACATTTCTCCAACCCCACTTTTAAAGGACAAAGGCCTTCTCTCTGGCCAGGCCCGTAGCCAGGATTTCAGGGGGGGCTTTGGGGGGGGGCTGAGTTTCGGGGGGGGGGGGCTGAGTCTGAGTGAAAGAGGGTCTAGCCTAGCAAACCTTTTGTATCATTACCCCAATACCCCCATGCATATGGGATATATTGAGTATGGTGATCAGATCATGATATGAATAAACATAACAGTTTAAATAATGCCCAATAAGGCCTTTTCGCGAACCACCATGAAAATTTCGGGGGGGGGGGGGCCTGTCTCTGGTAGATGGCTTTCCCAACTGAAGGAATGTTATGCTGCAACTGCCAAAAGAAAGTAGTTCCTTCAACCTCCACTCTATGCCCTGTGATTTCAAATGCCACGAAACAAATCAACAGACAGACAGAAATACTGCACTGGCCAATTTGTCCTCAAGCAGGAATATATAGCTTGCTCATTGCCCACCAGCATTAATATTTATTGTCATATGCATTAATAAGTGCAGTTGTTATAGTCTTTTTCCTCTGAAAGAAATGCATGGCCTTTTAGGAAACCTCCACAATGCTTTAGCTCAGTTTGAAAATTTTCATTGTTAACAACAACAACAACAACAACAACAACAACAACAACAACTTTATTTTTGTACCCCGACTCCATTTCTCTGAAGGGACTTGGGGCGGCTTACATGGGTATGAGCCTGAACAACATTGTTAAAATATTACACATTAAAATATATAAACAGCAACATAAAACAGAATAAAACAACAACATTATAACAAAATATAAAAGTAAACATGAAACCAATAATTAGGAAGTTAGCTCTGAGATAATGATAATGATCAGTTTCTGGGCACGGGTGGGCAGACTGGCCCAAAAACAATTGTAAGGATAGGGCTAATGGATAAAGCACATTGCTTCTGTGGTATCTTTTATTCTGTTCACTCTCTGGATGGATGTTTCTCAGGTGGTACATAAATGCCTTTGCAAGTGAACGAAATTACTTTAAGAAATTTGTATGAGTTAGATTTTTCTTTTTACTTACTACTTCTAGCACAACTAAGATCTATATTTTGGTTTCCTACAAAACGCAGGGTCCAACATATCTGTTCACAACAGTTCTTCAAACTGCTCTTTGAAAAAAAAGGCTGGCTTTTTATTTCCGATGTCATTAAAACAGAGTAGTCAATTGGGTAATTACCCATCCACCATTTTCATCTGAAAGGATGACCTTTAAGAATGCCAAGTGCACAATACTTCAAACCATGGCACATGCGTCTTGAGCAAAACAATGAACACTGAAAACATTCTTTCCCAGTATTTTATGTTACTTTGTGAACTTAAAACTTAATAGCTGTAGAAAGTGAACACAGACTATCTTATATATGGTCTGAGCATTATTTGGTGTGCTATTCTTTGATCCTCTAAATTAGTGGTTCCCAAAGTGTGCTCCGTGGAGCTCTAAGGGCTCTGCAAAGCATACTGAGAGACTCCATGCCTCCCTCCTCCAAGCTTCCCCTCCCCTTTCCTGCTCTTCCCCCTTCCCCTTCATCATCAACAGCCTTTTCCCCACATCTTCCTCACTGCCCAGATTCTTTCCTCCTTGCCTTCCTTGCTTCCATTTCCCTCCCACTGTGCTTTTCCTGCATGGCAGAAGGGAGTTGGACCGGATGGCCCCTGAGGTTTCTGCTATTATTATATTATTATTATTTCAAAGACTGGATGGTCATCTGTTGGGGGTGCTTTGATCGTGCTTATCCTGCATGGCAGAAGGGGATTGGACTGGATGATCCCCGAGATCATCCATTGTCAAGTTTATGTTGGTCAAAAAAGTTGCCCATGCCTGATATATAGGCATTATATATAATATAATATACAAACATGTACTGGGGCTCCACAATAACCTTTTGCTTCAAAAAGGGCTCCACAGCTGAAAACGTTTGAGAACTCCTGGTTTAAAAGTCTCCCAGAGGCTCTCCTTAAGTTTGTAAGAGAGCTTTCAAAGTAACTTTTTGGACTGTAACAGTCAGAATCCCCTGCCCAGCATGATTAATCATGACTCTAAGGATAACACCTAGAAAAGGATTCGTTTTTAATACACACAGCAGAACAGAAAGACGTCAGAAGATGTGCACTTTCTTACTGAAACAGCTTTACTGCCTACTGATTTATTGCTGGGCACAATTCAAAGGACCAGTTACAATGTATAAAGCTATATAATGTGGCTTAGGTCCAGACCAATTATTCCCAAACATTAGTCTCCAGGGATTTTGGGTTTCAGCTCCCAGAAACCACAACCAGTTTGGCAAACACAGTATGGAATTTTGGAAGCTGAAGTCACAAACATCTAGTGGACTAATGTTTGCAAACCTCTCAACTAGATTATCTGAAAGATCCCATCTCTCTATATAAGCAATATTCCAGGACCTTATGATCCTCGGGGGGGGGGGGTGTCTTTTGCCTTCATCACCTGGCCATGAACACATGGGAAATAGACTTCTCAGTGGCTGCTCCCAGCCTGT